CGCGCAGGCAGTCGTTAGACTCGTTAGTCACTGCGTAGTACGCTTAACTTACGCACGTATCGCAGCAATCGTTCTTCATTACGAAGTAATGTTTTTTTTTCATTATGTTTTTAGATGTATCTAAATAAATATAATAACAAAAAATTTATCTTTTTTTTATGTCATCTTACCATATTTTATGCTACAGAACGAATTATTTTTTTTAACATGTATTGTTATGGGAAAACGCGTTTCACATAACGAACTTTTCGCATAACGAACTTGCTCCTGGAACGAATTAAGTTCGTTGTGTGAGGCACCACTGTATATGAAAATTCTTATGCCTTTGTTTTTCTAGTTGTTGTTCAACAGAAATAAACGTTAATCATCGTTTTGGAAGAAAAGCAAACACAAGAACGCATCGCTTCTCGGTGCAATTCCAATATTGAACAACTAAAATAAAACAGGACAGACATTCGAGTTACAAATGCGTCAACCTAAATATGTGTTACATAGATTTCTCAATTACTATTTCGTATGATTTTTTTGATATTTTCTTAAATTCTTACTGCTTTATTCTTATTTACTTCTTCTTCCTGTTGTTATTCAAAACAAAATATTATTAAACATCGTTTAAGAATTAAGCAAACAAAAGAATGCAACCCAAATATGACGTTTCATATGTTTCTTAGATTTGTTACTTTCTATTGATATTATGTAGGCTACTTAACATCTTACTCATTTGTTCTTCTTTCCTTTTTCTCCTTGTTAAACATCAAAGGTCACTAAACGTTATTTTGAAATTAAACAAACAAAACGCTTCTTCGTACAAAACAAATTTAAAGTTTCATGTGGTTTTATATACTTATTAAAAAATAGTGAAACCTTCCATAGACTAAAAAGACATAACACTCTTGATTTCCCATTTAGATGTTAAAATCGGATTAATTTAGTTAATTGTTGTTGAAATTAAAATTTATTTCATTATTCCGTTCACATCTACTTTATATTATTTTTTATTTTGTTCTTATTTAATGCTTCTCATTATTCCTTTACAACTTAATTATTTATTATTAATCATCGATTTTGGAACGAAACAAACACTAGAAGCAAATCACAAGAACGCATCGATTCTTCGTAAAAAGCATCACATTACTTATGACATTGACATTTGACGGTAACAAATGCATGCATGTGAAATCTATCTTTTCATATGCTTCTTAGATATTTATTTTTATTCTTAAGACATTCTTAATCATTTGTTCTTCATTTATTTTTTCTACTCAAATAATTAAATATAATTTTGAAACGAAAACAAAATCCGCAGTTTCTTCTCAAACACAACAAAAAAACTTACTTTAATGACTCTTATTGTCTTTATAAGATAGATTTCTGTAATAAACAAAATATATTTTAAAAAAATGACAATTTTCTTGAGTTTCTTCAATTTTCTGAATACTATTATTATTGTATAGGATTTTTGCTAGTTTATTGTGAATATAATATAATTGACAATATAAATTATTTTTTCATAAAAACATTATGTTGGTTTGAATTCATACTTGAAACAGTAGGCTTGAATGATATTTAAAAACTAAATGACAAAAATATACCCTAAAAATCCCTTCTCTTCTAAACACAAGTGTCTCCGATAAAGATAGTATTTATACATGAGCTTAAAACTTCAGTAGCTAAAATAATAACAACTTTAGAAGAAACTAGTTCAAATTAAATTTAACAAATTGCATTAAAATCACTTAAAATATATCACATTTCATACTTTAACAATTGTTCAAATTCATTTACATCATATTTAATTCATTTTGAACAAAGAAAACTTTTTTTTATATTGCTGATTTATTTTAGTAATAGAATAATTTCTTACATGATTATTACTAATAAACTATGTGTATTGTTCGATTTCTGCTAAGTTAATACTTCTATTTTTTTATTAAATAATTTTCATTATTAATTAGTTAATTTACCACACGCCGCTTAACTTTCTGAAACCATCAAACATCAAGCAAATATCCTAAATATACTAGGTATTAAATAATATGATTACTATTGATTAATACAATTACATAAAGTTCATCATAGAATATGTAAAATTTTGATGTCTTGCACTAAACTTCAAATATACCTGACATTGAATACAATTTACTGTGCGATTGATAACCGGCAATGAATCACAACTTACATAGATTACTTGGTTATCCCCCGACCGTGTATCTATGGGAGAACGTAATCTTATCTCCGGAAAATTCGATACACACAACTATTATATACATACACATTTTGCGGTTGAATCGTTTTATTCATAAAACTAGTTATTATCTTATTATTATTTTTAATATCTATTCTAATCAATCTAAATTAATCTATACTTATGTTTTTTTTAAACTTAGCGCAATCATTTCTGTGATTTTTCATCTTGAAAAACATAGCAGTTAAATGGTCAAGTTAAAGTAAAAAAAAAACCTTATTTTTTGCCCTATGTTATTTACAATTCATTTAAAGTACAAATTGACAAAATAATCTTAATCTCACTTTAATGCATAATACAATCAAAATATAATTATTGCTAATTTCAGTGATTTGAATTGTTTCAATTATTGGGTACGAATAATCAAATAGATTAGTAGCTAAACTATTTATGTATTTTACAAGATTACTGAACTGTTTAAAATAGTTCTATTTTTGTTAAAATACATATGCTTTTTTTATTTGGTGAATACTGAAAACTTAAGAAAAGTCATATTGCAAGGAATGTGTCAGATGTACTATTTACCAAGGAAGAAGATCAGAGGAGAATGGAAAGAGAAAACGATGAAATTGGCAGTGGAAGCCAACACTGATTTAGACTAACAGGTGAGACAATCAACATTTCAGAGCAGTATCAACAAACAGGATCTGAATGCTGACGAAGAAGAGGAGAGGTTGTTAGTGGGTAAGAATCCCACAGTACCACGAATCCACTGTCCTTGTGCAAGGTTTTCCTTTCTTCCCGGACCAAAAAAGAGTCATATGCAAAGTATATATTGTATTTTCACCTAATTTTGAGTATGCGTTAAACTTTCGGGATGTTCCTTAAGACGGTTTTAAAAATGAAGATTCGCTTTTTCTATTTAACAGTTACACTTACTTATCCTTAAAATATGTACAGCAATACCTCGCATAGTGCGGTTTCTCCACGGTGGCAATCGCAAGCCCGACAACCGAAATACAGTCAATCAATTTCTCGACGTTCGGCATACAGTCGGCATTTCAAGGCTGTATCGAAACCATAATCCCGACTATATTAAAATCCCGACAACCATAATACAAAGTGTATCAAAATCCCGACTATTTCGAAAATGTGTACAATAAAATTTTTAAATTATTCCGGAGCAGTCACTACGCTTCAAATTGTTATTAATAATAAATAATAACAATTAATAATCTAATTCTATTTGAGATTGTTTCATAATGTTAATGTTTATTATGAAAAAAATTCAACAAAATCAAATAAATTAATAATAATTGATTGTTATTGATTAAAAATGTTAGTGTAAAAATGTTCGATATAGTCGGGATTATGGTTGTCAAGATTTTGATATAGTCGGGATTTCAAACGTCGGTATTTCAATAGACGGTCCTTCGGTTGTCGGGATTATGGTTGTCGGAATTTTAATATAGTCGGGATTTTGATATAGTCGGGATTTTTATACAGTCGGGATTTCGAACGTCGGGATTTCAATAGACGGTCCTTCGGTGTTGGGCTTGCGATGTAGACCCGTTCCGCCAATTAATCAAATTGTTTGAAACCACATAACAATAAACTGTACAAGACACAGACTTGACTGCGTAGAGAAAAAAAAAGATTAATTTTCGCTCAATTTAAATTTAGTTGAATAGTGAATCAGCACTAATCAAAGCCGCACTATGAGTATTTGTTAATTTATTTTTAAATATTAGACTAATCTATATTTTCGACAATAATCACGGAAAGCTACGTGAAATGAAATCACGTGTTGTTTTATAAATATTTAATTATATCCATATTAAATATTTAAATGAAACGTGTACAAATTTAGTCGTTACATCGCAAGCAAACGAAATATTCTCTTGTAGAAAGGGTAGAAGAATATCGTGATTAAAAAAAGTATTTGTCCTCGTTGAATATTGAACAGCATTCGGATTTATTTGCAAAGTGCTTAGTTGGAAGTCGTGCATTATGTTTTTGCGACGGATGACCTTCGCTTCGAACCAATTTAGCAATAAGTTCAGTACACGTAATTGCCAGCTAATAAATTTGTATGAAATATTCATGCTCAAATTGTAGCAAAATTCTCGGTAATTTCCACATATATATATTATATTTTTTTTTCCTCAGACGCCGATAACGTTTTCTCCTTCTTTTTAATCGTCAATCTAATTGGGATTGTTAATGGAATGCGCCGCGGCTCTTATTTGCGTAAATACGTTTCGTTCCATTCGAATTATATATGATGATCTGTAACTGTCTTCTAGTCTTTTCCATAATTATCAATGATTTCATTCCTTCTTGGAGGCAGCACTAAAAATAGATCACATTTGCATACATAATAATATAAAGCAGCGTTTCTCAACATTTTACATAGTTTATAACAGAGTTTCTCAACCTTTTTGCCATATTTTTTTGTAGACCCAATTGCTAATAGTATTACACCAGTGCCTCGTTTTAACGTAAAGTGTCTAAACTCTCATTTCGCAACCTAATTTTGGGATAGGTTGAAAAACATTGATATAAAGTATTAAGCTTCAATTGTATACAAATTAATAAAATATCTATAACACTAATTGTATACTTAATAGCTTTAGTTTTAATTTATTACTAATAATCTATAGTCGCTTGTATCACACAAATTCGACACAAAATAATGAATTCAAATCTTAAAATCGAAATAAAATGTCCTTTGCTTTCTCTGATCGATAATAAAATAGGACAGTAATGATTAAATCAGTTAAACATAAAAACTCTCGATAAAAGTCAATAATATTTCAAAAACTTTGCTTCAAAATACACAGAATTTGTTAAATATTATAAATTAGTTGGAGAAAGAAAAAAAAACTAATAGAGATTCAAAGTCTTCGTGCAATTCCAACAAGTTATAATAGTACGCGTGTTTGAATGGATGTGACACACATGGCAATTGGAATGTTTAGGAATTCGGTTGGCGCGCAAAAATGATAAAATATAAAACTTCTACAAAATCTACGTTCTGATTAAAGAAATTTGAAATTTTTTAAATTAATGAATGTTCTCACACGACATAAGATTTACATAGTGTTTTTGAAGGATTCATTAGAATTGAAGTAATCTAGTACTGTAATTTATTGATTTCTAAGAGTTATTGCTTTCCTAGAGTTATTTGCAGTAATTCATAAGTGTTCTACTTAGTTTATGTACAGTTTCTACATGATTTAAGTATGTTTATAAGTTTTATGATGCTTTGGTTTCAAAAAACACGAAACTCATATTCATGTTATATAATATAATTTTGCAGTATTTCTAATTCAAACTTTTACTGCACACTTAAAGACTCCTTTAGAAAATAATTTAATAAATGATCTTAACACATGTTCATAATGTCAGTTATTCTAGAATATTGTACAAAATAATGATACTATAAAATAGTAATAATATGTGATAAATACTATTAGAACAAGTCTGAATCAAGCGTATTTCCTAGTATGATGTAGTATTTGGATGTTAACATAGAAATAAACAGAATATTTGAATGTTTTGTGCTTGTTTAATTAAATATGATATAAAAGTTTATTTTGTTGTTTTAAGTTTGATGATGAAATATAAATGCAACTATTGAATGTCAATTATTTTTAGTAGTATTTCAAGTATTCGCATGAGAAAAATAAAAATAAATCTGGTTCAAAATATAAAAACTTCAAATCAATTTAGAATTTTATCAATTATTGTAAAATGTATGAATATCATAGTAGTATAATCGAATGTTTGTGTATATAAGCGTTTCTCACCATAGGTTGGCTGGTCAAATTGTAGCTGTCACGTTGCATCATCATTTCTATGTTATAAACTATTGTCCCGCCTCTAAATAGTTGAGAAACACTGGTGTATACTACTTCTAACTTTTGCATTTAATAAAATTAATAGAAAAAAGAATATTACATAAAATATTAGTGAAATAAAGTAGTACTTAAGTAGACATTTATAATAACGGAAGTGAAAAGAAAAAAAAAGAGGCCAATTTAAAAACATTACAATATTTATTTGATCATTCTTGAAGAAAAAAAATAATTCAAGTCTTGTCTTAATTGGAGACAAGAAGAACGATATATTTTTCCAAACTTTAAATATATATATATATAAACCAATCGCTCCTCATCAGACATAATAATTAATTTCAATAAATTAAGGACATATAAATAAAACGCTGTTTTAAATTTCAATCTTAAATTAGACTTATTATATGTACAAATATATTTGAGAGAATAAAATATATTAAAAAAAGATAAAACTTAAAAAGTAAATAGAGAGTGTTTGTTTTTTTGTGATTGGGATAAAGATGGAGTGAATAGAGGTTACAATCTTTTAAGAGCGCTAACGCCCAATGAGCCTGTTTTCAGTTTTCGCGTCGGCTGCACAGAGAGAGGAGCGATTGGTGGAGAGTCGACGTTGTCTGCGTTGCCCAATTCCTATTGATTCAACAAAAAAAAAAGAGATGTTAAAAAAGATTGTTAATAAAATCGAATTCAATACTTACGCTTATGTTGTTGTAACTGGCTAGTCTCATTTGGGCGAGTTGAGATGCGGGTGTTAAATTCGTTGAGCTGCCAAAAGGTGAGGAAATCATCGAGGAGACAGCGCGTTTCAATTTAGAAGGCGTTTTGTTAAAAGAAAACGCTCTGCCAACTTTTAGTCGCGTTCTCGTCGCAAATTTGAATGCCTTCGACAAAGTTCCATTGTTCACATCGCTGGTGTTTATATCCAGATCGTGCGGCTCCAAAAAGGCCATAAACTTATCCTGTAACAATAAAACATCAGTCAATGTTCAAGAATGAAATTTGCAAATATGTTAAACAAGTATTTTGTAAATTGATCAAATTCAGAAATGTCTGGTAGGCAAATTTTCAAAAAAAATAAATCTTACAAATATATATAAAAAAAATATAAAAAATTATCGATAATTGAGTGGAAAACTTGAAGGCTCCTATCAAGTCACATAGATTTACGTTTAAGCTTTTTGCAGATAGATGGCGAAAATCATAGACACTTTTAAATGAATTGCAATAAAATGACAAGAATTTAAATTAACTTATTACAGTTTTATGAAATATTAAGTTCTGTAATTATATTATATTAATAAGCAAGATATTAATGAATGAATTGCCTCTTTAATAAATGACTGGTTGGAAAAAAAAATGAAGGACTTAAAAGACATTCCTCCATTTATTAAAAAGTCACATACAATAGATACGTGATTTATGTAGTAAAAATGTAGTATAAAATATACCCGTGACGCTGATATTGATATATAGATTATAAGCGTTTGCTATGAACACGCTTTATTTTAGAAGGCTTTAAATCTGAGTCACTTACCGAATCCGCTGTACAGGCATTTGTAGCCATCTGCCGACAAAGTGTTTTCAGGAAAGTTACTTTGTCGGCATCCTCGTCAGACATAACAAACGTGAAAAGACGTTCCTTGAGTTCATCGTTGTGCCTGACGACAAAACCAAACACTTTCTGACAATCTTCCGTTTCCTTGATATCGATCACGCGTTTAATGTTACTTAAGGACATCAACTTAATGTGCTTGTACGGTTTACTTGCAGAGTTCTTGTGCAAACCGTTAACCGTGTTCGGAGATTTCATTGTGTTGAAGGCCTTCGAACGCTTCTTGCAGATCTCCAATTGATCCGAAAATAAAAACAGCACCAAAGGATTGCCTTTGCCAGAGAGGCCTTCGGATGATGATAGCTGCACAACTTCAGATTTAGCTATGAAGCTTCTGTGAGAGGAAACTAAATCAGGCTGGAAAAGAAAACACGGCGCGTTAGAAAATAAAATCATCTACATTTTGGTGAAAGTAACTTACCGGGCAATTATCAATATCGTTGAAAATATCAAACATGACCCTTTGACCTTCCGTTTTCCTTTTGTCTTCATTGATGTGAGTCATTACTTCACGGATTGACGCTAGCGCTTGGTCTAGCGCGTTGTGATCTGGATTTGATTTCGGCGTGTTCTTCAAAATGTCTGTAATAAGAATCAAGTGTTAATAAAAGTATTTTCGTATGTGACAGTTTATAGAGTATTAACCATTTAAAAGTAAGCTGATACTGGGTAATCGCTGAACTGGCCTAATGAGAAGATCTTGAAGACCTTGACGTCCGCACTCCGGCCTCGTCTGGCATGCTTTAAGGAACGCATGGAATCGGGGTTTGTTAACATCGCACTGCGTGAGCATCTCCTTCATCTCCTCGAAGAAATTCACGAAAGGTGGATAGGCCTTCAGCAGATCAGTGGAGTACTTCAATATCACATTTCCTACGCACTTTTCTTCGCTCCAGTGAGCAGAGAGCTTGCGTAACTCGTCCAGCATCTTTAAATGCGTTTCGAAAATCAGCGGCACGTTACCAAAGATGATCTTCAATTCGGTATTATTTAAAAGAGCATCCTCTTCGTCCATTTCTTCTAAATGTTTCTTAAACATCTACACAACAAAATAAGATTAGCATTACGTTATTTTAAAATGGTTTGTAGTAACATTACCTTCATTATTGTGTCCAATATATTTACATAATTCGATTCGGTTTGGACCAGCTCTAGGAAGACCTGTTGGCGGGCGGTGAGACCCTTGCGAGGAGTATCTGGAACGGTACTTGATTCCGTCCCATCGTATAAAGCCTTATCTGGGCTTGCGGTACAATCCAAAAACGAACCAGATACAGAATGTAGACCTGCATCGCTGATTGAAGACCGCCTTTTATGGTGAACCACGGGCGACTGTTGAGGATGTGCCAATGTCTCCAACAGTCTTTTCCTTTTCCGACGACTTGCGCTGCCGGGCGTGGCTTGATGAGAGTCTCTACGAACGCTCGGAGATGAAACTCGATCATTCAACTGCAAAACACAATCCATATAAAATAAAACACTGTTTTTGTTGTTCAAAAAAAAAAGAATTACCTCCATAAGCAAATAAGCTTTTTCTTCCAAACTGATTTCTTTTTGAACTGATGTCCAAAACCATTCGGCTTTCACTACGTGGGCTTTCGGAACCACGTCGGGTCTTTCCGTCACTTGAGATTCATCTACAACCTATGAAGAAAATACAAGCATATAATTACTCGAATAGTCAGTTTAAAACACCTTTTCTTTGCTTATTTTCATAAGTCCTTAAATAATAAAAACAAAAAAAAACTGAAAAAATTTACATGCATGTAACACACTTAATGCACAACAATTCAAAAAGATTTTACTTTTTGCGGACATAAAGTGTATTAGAAGAACTATAAAAGCGAACTGAAAATTGCATTCACTATGAACATATTTGCAAATTTGCACATTTTCAATTTCGCTTCCTAATGAAAAAAAAAGAGAATGATAAATGAAGAGTTGAAATTCAAACGGATTTAAGAACCAATATCAAATCTAAACCACTTGATATGTTGCAAGTCGATAAAATGTAAACACCAAAATAGTAACAGCGATAATTTTGTATGATATAACAGTTTCCAAACCCAATTAACTCATTGTTTTGGCACTTTGATCGATTTGAAGTTGAACTCTTCAATTAGAAATAACGACATCACATTACAAAACACAACGAAAATGTGGTTATTTCAATTCAATTCTAACCCACATTAATGACTGAATAATGATAGACTGAAAATGAACATGTGATTAATGTGAACTACAATCAAATATCATGCTATGATCGTGAATATAAATTTTGATAAGTTAGTACCGCAGCATGAGTTAAATGGGCCCCTGATGGATCCGGTCCAGTGCTGCGAAGCTGACGTGGCTCAAGGAAAGTGGAATGGAGATTAGATTGTTCGGAGAAATCAGGGAAACAGGAGATGTTCATCGAGTTACCACCGTCACATTCGGTGAAACTCAGTTTGGTAGCGTTCAAATCGTTCTTGCGGGTGGTGTTACGAACAAACTTTGAACTGCTGAACGTTCGTTGGAAAAGATTTTTGCGCGGTTTCTTGCCGTTATTATTAGCCGGAGTACGGTTGCAAGATGAGCTCAGATTATCGAAAGTTTGCACTTCGAAGATGCCGGACGTGGAGTCAACCATAATTTCACCCTCGTTCAAACTTCTATTCGCCCCGATAGTTCGTCGACGATTCGACAAGTAATTGAACGGAGTTCTCAAGAAATCAGTGATTTTTCTTTTCGTGTTTTCGCTATAGCTCAAATCTTTCTTATTTCGTTTCGAACACAGAAAACTTGATTCGGGTGATCTTAACTTGCGTTTTCTCGTGCTCGATGTGGACTGATCCAAGTCGAGATTCTGCATGTTCACGGTCGTATCAAAAACCGTATCGTTCAGCTGCGAACAAATCGCGTCGTCGTGTGATTTCTCATGTAAAGTGGATAGTTTCGGGGTTTTAAACTCTGCCTTGCGAAGAGCTAGCTGTTGAAGCTGCTGTTCATTCGGAGGCGTCGTCAGTTCGGAAGCAATTGTTAAAGTAGGAGAAGGTTCGTTGGATTCGAGAGTTATTACAGGTTGAGGAGTGTGTGAGCCGCCATTAGCTTCCAACGGGTAATTCTCAGCGTGGTCCATCACCTGAAATTAACGAGCCAGCACCGTGCAACAACAGAAAACTATCGACTAGAAGCGCCAGAAGACCAGTAATTATGACTCACATTGTCTTCAAGCGCTCCTAATCACTTTTAATATATAAAATGCATTAGTCAAAGGTGTGAAATCACTGATAACAAATAAAAAATAATGATTCCACACGTCTCACTAAATTCAGATAGCAAATATGAAGTGCAACAAAATAAATAAAATGTGAAATGAAATTTCGAATTTGTATGATTTGAATTGAGGAAATTGATTCTAATGCTACTTACGACATGCGTACAGGTGGGGTCATCCAGAGGAGCCACCGTGCCTCCATTTGACACCAGGATTTCAGCCATGTGCTTTTCCTCCTCTTCTGGAAATCCAAGAAAGCACACCCGTGCACCATGGAAGGGTTTCAATTTAAACTCGCTCTAAAAAAAATATGTTACAAAATTAAATTAGAAATTAAATAAATACAATATATGATCGTGTCATTGTTTATAAGCCAACTTAGATTTTTGTAATATTTCAACTCACCAATCGCACTTACAACTTTAGCGTGAAACAATAAATGTTAAGAGAGTTAAAGAAAAGGATGTTATTGATGGTGGAGCTGTTACTTACCACAAATTTATCACAAATGGCACTAAACTCCATGTCGTTTCTCCTATCCCAACTGGTCAGAACCCATGCGTAATTCATTATGGGAAGCCTGAAGACGTTGGCGTACTTATACTTCTCTCCTCCACTGGCATTTGCTATCAGATGAGTAACTTTAAAAGACATTTCTTTGCGTATCGACCCGCCCATGTGGTGCACCAAGGGCACTAGTCTAGTCTAAAACAGAAAACATAAACATTACAAAAACTGCTTACAATTTATACAATGAAATATGTATATTTACCAAATCTTCTTTATTTCTAAATCCTGTAAAACATACGACGACTCCCGTCATGGCTAAGGTGTAGAGAGGTCTCGTGTTATTAGGTAATTTGTCTTTTCTTATAGCCAACTGACGGAGGGCTGGCATTCCCAGCAGAGGATGCCGTGACTTGCAGAGGTGATCGTACTGTGGCCCTTGGAACTTCTCTAGTACAAATATTGTTGAGCAGCTTTGATCTCCAGCATACTCGTATCCGTCCGGCGATGTCACGATCGGTACTCCGAATGACTGTGCCGCCCCACATACCGCTTCGTCATTAGCCGCTCCACCCACCAAGCAAATTCTCTTGTCCAATGGCAATGCTGAGGCTGATCCCAAAGCTAAAACAAATTTCAATATTAAAATCAAATTACTTGGAAGATTCAAAAGACAGGTAAGTTACAATAAGGGTTAGGATTAGAAAGTACAAGGATTATTGTGAATACTAAATTACCAATAATTTAAATTTTGGGCACCTTGAAGCCAGGATTCCAAACATACATTATATGAATCAATGTTTTGAACATCTGCTAGTAATCCAAGCATACATCCAATTAAGATCCATTTCGAACACATACTACCGTTTATTACAACCATACATTGATCTATGTATATTTATCTACACATTCGATAAATAAAGCAGCAGCTAATAACGTTACACAAATCTGATTTTACTTAGATCGGAATGTTTAGCTTAATAGTATTTAAATACAAATCTTCTAAATTATATATATATTCAAAGTACTTTTAATTTCAACAAACAAATTTGATTAAAAATAAACTTTATTTGCAAAAGAAATTATTAATTTGTATATAGAAAGTCCATCAACCTTTAGTTAAACGTTAAACAGTTTCGTCTTTCTGTTGATCTTGTTTTAAGTATTATCTGCTTTTACAAAAAAAAAAAAAAAACTTTTAAGAATACAGCTGTTCACTTGATAATTTCTCATTAGCAAAAGAACAAACATGATTAAGTTGTTTGTCTGCAAGAAAAAAAAACTATATTTTGTGCTCTAAAGGCATTTTTAAAATTAAATATGTTAATACAATGTATACACATAAAATACTAATTGTACTAATCGAAATTTTAGAATTTGTTTTCTTCGAATCGATTAAAAACTTATTGGCAATCACGAAGAAAAACATTAAGCAAATACATCGTAAATTCCAACTGAGAAAATTAATTTCAATTGACGAGAATAAAAAGTACGCACATAATCCTATGCTGAGGCACCGAGCATAAGTGATGTAATCATTGCAAATACGCAAATTAGATGTATACTCTTAATGAACAATAATAATACTACAAAAAATAATTATTATTTACGAAATTAATATTAATTATAGCAACAATAAATTTAAGTTTTCATAGGTAAACGGTTGTTGAAATAGTTTTTCATACATTGTAAGTTTTGAGACAGTAAATATTTCATTGTAATAAAAGTACCGAGAACATAGACACCACCAATAAACCATAAACTCCGAAAATAGAGAACATTTCGTGGAACGTTAAAATTAAAGGTATTTATTGTACAAACTTTTAGAGAAATGCAATAAAAACACGGTTATATAGAAATTGTATACATATAAAAGTAAATTATTAAAAAAACTTATTATTAGTCTGCTTCTTAATTTATGAAAGTATTAAAACAATTACGCATTTGCTTGGTAATAATTATTACATACTGGTCATTATTTCCATATTTGATTAGAAATAAATGATCGAAATTAAATTGAAGTGAATCAGTTTACCTTCAGTATCGCAAACCATAGACTCGTCGTCGGATAAACAAAGTAAAACAATCGACTCAAACATGTCAAAGTGTGGATGAAAACTGAGACAACAGCAGAAATGCCGTTTCGAGTGTGAATATTTTCTGCGTAAAAATCGGACACTGTTGCAACGGAGATGCAGATAATCGAGTCAAGGGTAACTTTGATCTATGCCGAACTATTTACTCGGTGCAAGCAGTGTAATTGATAAAATAAGCAATTAAATTGATACCGATTGATAGATTGGACGAATGCGAAACAATATTTGTTTATGCTCAATGCACATATATTTCAATTAATGATGATACGATGACGGAGTATTAAACTGTAGACTGAGAGGAGTCACAAACATTATTGTTAATATTTTTTTGCAGAGAAATCGAAAACTATTCGTAATTTTAAACTTTATGTCTATTAGTTTATAAGGAAATACATGCAAATGTAGAAAGATTCAAAACTGTTTAACCAATCCAAAGTCTATTTAGATCTATGGAATTATATTTATAATTATGATCTAATCAGAATTATCAAAAAATAATCGGTTTAAAAACCAAAGAAAGATGACTTGGAAAATATGCTAACTTATTGAAGATTTGATCATTACCTAAATTGTTCATTACAGCTTAATTTAATACTTATATTGATAACATTAGTTAACGTTTGTTAAAGTAATACAAACGAATGCTACTCGCAATAAAATCTCAAACAATTACAAATACTAATGATTAAACTGAATTCACGAAAGTCTTATTGAGAAATTATTGATAGTGCACTAAAATAAGTCATAAAAAATATTACAAAAACAATGGCAATGTTTGTAATTTTATTGTTTTCGTAAAATAAAATCTCATTCGCAAAACGAAAATTCACAATTTGTAATTTATTAAACATACAGTGGAACCTCGCTTAACGAATATAATCCGTTCCAAAATTTCCGGATTTTTACTCGTATATTACACATGATATATGTACACATATTTAAAAAATGATGTAGCATGCGCACAATCCGGGACTTCTCTTCTCATAGTCACTCGTTATGCGAAACGTCGCTCGTTAAGCGAGTCAATTTTTCTTACAATTCATTTTGCTCGTTAAGCGAGGTTCCACTGTATTTACTTTACTTATATTTGATATGAAACACGAGCTTTGCGAATTTACCGAACATACTTTATTCAATTAGCGTTAATATACAAATTGAATATAATAAACTGCTAATTATTACTAAAACATTATTTTGTTATTAAGAAAATTTAGAGTTAAAAAAAAAGGAAATAAACAACAACAATAATCAAACAGTCTAAAGGTCGCTTTAGAGAATTATCCAACTTAAATTATACGACATTGGCTCATCGCTTTATTCGAAAGTAAACAAATGTACTTCAATTTGTATATTTCAAGTAAGCATATGAGCACTTAAACTTAAGTTCCTTTATTCAAAATAGAATTATTTCTAAAATATTAATATATTTTTTCAACTTCTCTTATTTTCTGATTTTGTTATTATTACTGTTACAATATTGTTATTAATGATACTTAAATACAAAAAAAAACATGAATATTTGTTTATGACACTGTTATATATATTATAATAAGATTTAATTGAATATGCATTAAAACCTTGCATATCATCATTAATAATGAAAATGTAATCTATTTATAGCATTTGCATTTCAGTAAGAAATAATATTTTTTTAAAAATTTAACAAAACATGAACTTAAGAAACAGAGCAAAAAGAGAAAGTAAAAAAACTAGGGACAAGATCATTCCAATGGCATGAAAATTCATAAATAAGACTGAAGGGAGCGGAAAGATCTATAGTTAATAGTTGATAATGATCCGTATGTTTTGTATGAAGAAAAAAAAGAAGATTAAACTAAAGTTTATGGTAAGTTTAAGTTTAAATTTGATGGCCAAATAAATATAATTATTTTTATAGGATTGAAATAAATCAATGATGTTTATAGTAAACAGTTGATGTGTTTAGATTGTGTAAACTGTGACATTTGATTCGTTCAATTGGATATATTGATCAATTGTTGAGTGATACAAAAGTGTTGAAGTGTTAAAGCATGTTATTCCACTTTGGGAGGTGAGTGAGGCAATTGTGCTATTGTAAACAATTGAAGTATTTGCTGAAGTAATTGATGTGGATGCAATTAATTTGATGAATTGAGAGGGAAAATTTTAAAAAAAGCGGAGGGAAGCGTTGTTTTGCATGCCAATTGCTCGTCCCTGCGAACTTGTAAACAGATGAATGGGATGATTGATGCTGTAACCTTGGATATGTAACAAGGGACATAACCTAAGATGTATCATCGGTTTTCGCTCTAGCAGTTGACGTTTCGGAATGTTGTTGCATTGCAACAGGGACAGTTTGGGGAGAGGACGAACTTAAGGATGGTTGCGATGTGATGTATATGGATGGAGGACGCTGGGATGACGCTGATATGGGGGAGAAGTGCAAAATTGTACTTTACCGCTTTCATTTCTGAGTGTATCTTCGCTGTTGGAATCGCTTCCTATCGACTGTTGTCTCACTTGGCACTTAGTTTTCTCGTCCATTTTGGTGCGTTTTCACAAAAGCGATATATATCTCTCTCGAAAATAAAATAACAACTTGGTTACATCAACACACGCACGCACACATACATAAACGAAATATATTTTGAAACAACAGAAGCTGCGGACGAAACAAGCAAAGAGCAAAAAAAAATTGAATGAAGAAAGAGGGAAAAATAGAGGAGCCGAATAAATATATGTGTATATTTAGGCGTAGAGAGACGGTAGTTGCCTAGGTTAGGTGTCGCGAGAAAGGGGGCAAATCCAACAACACTCTCTATATTTATAACAACACGCAACACACATATATATATAAAATAGAGTACGGTGAAGACACAACACTCGCACTCTCCTCTCTCTTAAAATGCGGAACTCCTGTTTGTTGTTTAGTCGTTACACACGGTTAATTTTGATGCCGTCTCCGTCGCCGCCGCCGTTACCGCCTTCGCATCCATTTCACTGCACACAGCCACTGCTTCAACAAACTATTTCTCTGATGCTTCCTCTTCACGATCTCGTTACGTTTGTTTGATTTTGTTTTTTTTTTGCTTTTGGTACCGTTCGGATATTGGTGGATGGACGACCGATGCCTACTGTGTTCTTTCGGTGCCCTTTTTGGGCTTGGCCGTTTTTTTTTCTTCTTCTCCCTTGCAGCCGCACGAAAAGGCGAAAAATACGTGCGAATGGCGCTGCGACCGTTTGTGCGTCTCCGGCGCTCACCCCGCGCAATCCTCACAGGTACAGAATATATTTGAAGTTCAATTTGGGTACGTGATTGGACGACGATTTAACCGACAGGTAGAAAATCCACTCGCGGCGTTCTCCCACCGCCAGGCAGCTGCTACACCATTTCTGCCAACCTAAGAGCGCGTCTCCTAACGTCCCTCCACACGAAAATACCCTAGTTTTAAATTCAAAATTTCAATTGCATATATTTATTTACTTAATCATTTGATTATAAGAAACAAACATTATTATTAACACGTTAAGGACGGCGCTTTTCGGGTTGTCTGCCCCCAGAAAAAATGTTTATACATTTTTTAATGATATTGAAGCAATTTATAACAATTGTGGGAAAAATATTCAATTCTATACTTGCTAGGAAAAAGTGCTATAGGTTTTATAATAAGCAATAATAATAATTGATTATTGCAATTTCTATTCAAGTCGAATATATCATCATGTGCATATTCAAGCTCTAAGCTTGTATTGTATTTGAATAAACTAGCAATGTTTTTTTAGAAACAGAAATAATATCTGCTTATGATATTGATATTGTATTTTCAATGCTGTTGCGCTTCGATTACTAAGAAGCTGAGAAGCGGCAATTATGTCACAATATCACGTATTGTTCTAAATTGCTTCAAGCATTATTAAAATATATATAAGAAATGTATTGGCGTTTGAAGTTTGTAATTGACTTAAGATATTTGAGGTTATTCTCAGTCAAAATCAGTGGCGTACATAGCAACAAAACTATTATTTATAATTAATGACCCACCGGTGGGTCATGCCGTCGTCAATGTGTTAAAGCATTATTTACACAAAAGTACTCTTATATTAATTAGATATACTAATAACATTTGATTATTAACAGATGTTTCAATAATACAAATCTATTGTTTAAATTATTACACAATGCAATAAAACAAAACTAAACAATAAAAACACTAGATTTAAATTCTTAACATTTGAATTGTTGTTTACTTTTTTATTAATTTATAAACAAATCTTTATTATTAAAGTATCAATTAAAAAACTAGTAGAGAACAAATAGAATAGATTATTGAGATTATTTACAGATTTTTCACCAACTCAAATTTATTGTTTTTAAATGTTGTACAATGTAATAACACAACAATTCAATAAAACAAAACAATAAAAACACTAGTTTTAAATTAAAATGTTTAATTATTTTTTAATAGAGTACAAATAGAATAGATTAATGAGATTATTTACAGATTTTCATTAACACAAATTTATTGTTTTTAAATGTTGTGCAATGAAATAACACAAAACTAAAAAAACACTAGTTTTAAAATGCAAATTTTTCGTTGTATTGATTGATGTACTAATAAAAGTAGAGAACAAATATAATAGATTAAATAGATTTACTAATGATTTAGATTATTTACACAATTTTCATCAATACAAATATATTAGTTTTAATTGTTACACATTGCAAATAAAACCAAACAAAAAAATTTAAAATTGTTCCTACATATTTATTTATTAGTAAATTATTGTTAATAACGGTTAAAAATTTATATAAAAAAACGTATTTCTTGATAAATCAAAATTTTAAAGCATTTATAAGATTTTATTTTGTATATTTAATAGAAAATTAAACTATGTAGTGAAACTTACATTTTATATGATAATAAAGGTAGTAGTAGAATGGGGTGCGTTCGTTGAGCGGAAATTCCGGGAAAGTAAAAGGGGTGTTGTCATGGTAACACAACATGATTTAGCAGTGAGGTGGGCTACTTAACAGATAGCTGAGAAATATTGGTGGCAAGTCACGGATTTGGGATTTTCTAAAGGGAATTAATCTTCGCTGTTAGATAGAAACCTTCCTGTTAGTAGGTACCCGACTTTACACACTTAACAGTACAGTTAATGCCGTGATTTCTATAATTAAAAAGCAAAATCTCTTACCACAAAATTTATGTAGAAGTGTAATTTTTCAAAAGCTTTTCTTTTCTTTACTATTATAAATATATAAATGATTAAAACTTAATTAAATTAGAAGTTATAGAAAGTATTCAATATGTATATTTATCTAATAAAATCAAGATAACATTGATTTATTTAACAGCAAAAGCAATGTCGAGAATTCAAACAAATGGAAACTTTACATAACAAGCTTTTTATTGATATTTACATAGACAGTAAATCCAAGTCGCATTATTATTTAAGTTAAGTTTTTTTTAACAATATAATTCCGTTGAATAAATTTCACACAAATTAATTAAGTCAGGTTAGAAATTGACAATAAAGTTGTCATTAGAAATTGACGTTCTTTCTATTAGAAAATTTCCAAAACGATATACAAATAATGGACGGAAAAATTATTTTTTTTTACTCTTTTTTCGGAATTTGAAGGAACTGTTGGATGCAACAAATTTCGGTTTTCTGTGATTTCTATTTTCACTAACAAATATTTAAATACCTGTCTTTATTGCTCACTTTGGTCGTGTACCTGTCTTTAGCCAAATTGTAAGCTTAACAGGTGACCGTCGGTTCGTTTATTACATGGCATTCCAACAACGACAGGTTGTCCAGGTTCTAGGACCAACGTGTTTTCAAGACATAATCACAGGTAAAACGTCGTGATTAACGTTTCAACGCAAATATTATAAATGAAATAATATACAAAAAGTTTATTTAGGAATGTTATATTTAAAAGAAATATTTTTTTTAATAAAGACTATGTTATGAAATGATTAATTATTAAATATATATGATAGATGATAATATACGATATTAATAATTAAATTCAATAAAATTAAATTATGGTTATAATAATTTACAATCAATTTTCATGTGAAATTGATAATTGTTGTTGCTGTAACTTATTGTTATTTCTAAAGAAGAAACTCAGAAACTTTTCAATCATCTGATTTCAAAACCTGAAAAAATCTTGCCTAGACTCAATTATATTCTGTAGTTTAAATAATAGCTGTTGATGATATGAGATGTTTAACTCTTTGGAGGTGTAACCTCTGGCTAAATTTCTGCGAGCATATACGTCGTAGTTTCTGACCATTCTTGTGATGATATCGGAAGTGGAAACTCCTTCGGTTCTTTGGGTTGCAACGAACATATCTCTCTTCTTCAAATGCCCATAAATGTCTTCAGTTCCTTCACTGATGTAAGGAATGTCATCGTGCGCGAAGAAATCTATCTTGTGGTCCATGATAAAAGCATCGTTGTGCTCCCAAGGTGCGTCTCTAAGCACCTCATCAACGTATCTGCAGTGCTTCACAACATTATACCTTTCATCATCGTTCATGACAGTGGGTCCCTTCATCTTATTCAAAGTCGCGTCACTGCACACTTGAAAACGCCACGAATTAAATCAGACAATTCACTTTTGCAGTAAACTCACCTCCAACTATGAGATAAACGTTTGGAAAACAATTCTTCGCCTGACGAAGGACATTTGCGTGACCCTCATGGAACAAATCGAACGCACCATCAGCGTACACCCTGATTTGTCTTGGCGCCTTTCCACTTCTCGCCAACTCTTTGTTTATTTTAATACTGTAGTCGCAATCTCGTAAAATCTCTTTAGCCCTTTCATCCTCACTGAAATGTGCTGGATCGCAGTTTGACTGAAAAATCAATTTACTTGTTACTTCCATACGTTAATTCACTTATGAAATTACCATCGTGTTTCAATAATTACTTAGTTAAAACTGTGTCTGAATTATTAAAGTATATCCTTATATGCATTTGCTAATCATTGAATATTTATAGATATAATGCTTACTGACTAAAATAAACAAAAAAAATAAGGTGCTTTATCAATTATTATCAGCTAACTACAATAAACGTTTGCTGCTTGTTTAATAGTTTATGTTTAAAAAAAAATGTTTTAAATTTACATACATATCTATACCCAAATTTCGCGTTAATCGAATTATAATATAGTTTTCATTAATTAAGTTCTGTGTCCGTTTTTTCTAAACTAAAGTTCGTCAATGTCTCAAATTACTAACGTAAATTACGTACATTTTTTGTATATTTCCATAGCATAATATACATTTTACATTCTTCATTTCGACTGACGTTTTCTGACTACGTTTGTAACAATGATTACTTAATAGAAGATTATTAACATTCTATATCGTCTAAAAAAAAGGAATCGAAACCAAAAGACTTTCTTTGCTAAAGAATTACTGCAATACCTCTAATATATTGCGGTTTTGATCAATGCGGATTCACTATAGTACGGTTTGAATTTCAAAACAAACTAAATTTCAATTGAGCAAAATAAAAATAGACAATATTATTGTTATACATGAATTATTAGCTCTGCTTATGAGGTTGTAAAGTTCTCGATTAGTGCGGTATTAGTAATTTTTTTATTCCAACTTTTTGTGTTTCCAAAACACAACGAAATGCTTGCACCAAATATTAAAGTCATTGCATTTCAATTATAAATGTATATTTCGAGAGTTTGGACAAAACTTATGTCTCGGAGTTTTGAGATGCTAAAAATATCGAAGCTACGTTAAAAAAAATAAATTTTGGCTCAAAAAATGTATGTTTTTTCTGTTTCGCTTCAAAAACTTTCTGGTCTCAATTCTATATAAACTCTGGTATAAATTAAATGATTTCAATACTCCGCATAGTCCGGCTTCGATCAGTCCGAATTTAGAAAATAAATTAAGCAAAAAAAAGTAAATTCTAAAATATTTAATTATACTCCGATTACACGCTAATTATTTATGCATATCATTTTTCTATAATTAAGAAATATGTTTTTGTTTAATTGCAACTTAACAAGGTTCAATTATTCATGAAACAGAAAAAAACGGTTTAAAAATTAAAGCATTTCCGTTGAACCTGTTCTTCGTGCTTCCTGTTCTGCTTCTTTCTGGGACCTCACGTGGATTTACGGTCAAGTGAGTAATATTTCTTTGATGCGCTACAAAGAGCATTCCTCCAATTATTAATTCCACCCTCTATCTGTAAGAAAATTTCTCAGAGTTATAAAACCAGTAGGTCACTGGTTTTACAACTTTGAGACTTTCGTTTATTTTTTTTTATACATTTGTCTCCTCGTAGACTGCAAGTTTTTCTTAACTGTGTGACATGAATTAACTCAAAATAATAGGTGAAGTAAAAAGTTCTGAGCGTTTTTCGTTACATGGCTTTAGTGAGTCATATCTCACAATGTATAAGTTGCATCTTTAACGCTTTAAAAAACTTCTTTGACAGTTTTGTGTTAAGGGAATCCAATTTGTTAGAGCATTTCAAAATGGAGGTAAAAAAAGAGTGAATTTGATACATTCTTCAGTACCACTACGACCAAGGGGAAAAGCGGAGTAGACATAAAAAAAAGTGTTGCTTATGGACCCAATACAGTATCGAATGCAACAGTAAAGCGTTGGTTCCAAAGCTTTCGTTCTGGTAATATGGACGTCGAAGATGAGACATTTCTCGTCCAATCGTTGATAAAATCATGGAAATCGTCGAGTTGGACCTATATGTGAGCACGTATTCCATTACCCAGGAACTGAAGATTAGCCAGAAAACCGTTTGGACCATTTGCATAAGGCTGGTCTCAAGAAGAAGCTTGATGTATGGGACAAAACGCTCAGAACTTTTTACTTCACCCAATGCATTACCTCGTTAACAGAGAAAGAAATAAAAATTATGATACATTAATTGTATCATCATGGAAATTACACATTTTTAATATAATTAGATTTGAAAAAGAAACAATACTTCTTGCACACATACGAGAATGTTACATGTTACACTCGCGCATTTAACCGCGTTATAAAAAACTCAACATTGGTGCAAATCAGATTGATTCGTAGCATGTTAAGACAAAATAGATTAATTTATATCGCGTTATATAAAAACCGGGTTATAAGAAACTTAGTACAAATTGGATTAATTCGTTACGCATTATAGGAAACTAAGTTAAGTGAAACAAATATATAAGTATAAATAAAGTTGATTTTTTGATGTGTTATATAAAAATTGGATTTCCAAGTTGTGAATTTAACTTTACAGTCAAGACAATAAAAAACAAAGTGAAATATAATGAATGAAACGTGCTATTAACATTCAACGTCATTATCAAATATTAGTGACGTAACTTTGGACTTTGCATATCTTCATATTCATTCTCAACTGTAGTTTTATTTTGTTTCTACCAAAATCTATAAGAAACTAAGCAATTTTGTAACTTTCTTATAAACTTTACACTGCAAATTGTTGATGAATAATTTATATCAATGATAGAAAGTTTAAATTCTTTAACTAAATCCAGTTCCCTTTTAACAACAATTTAACATTATTTTCTGTTCTTTTTGTATTTTCGTCGACCAATCATTTTGAGGTAGATACATCAATTCCTCTTCTTCTGAAGTCACTTCTCTAAGTAGTTTCTCTTCTGAAATGAGAAGTAATGTTTACAATTATTACTTACAATTATCCTTATTTTGGACGATTTGAGACAAAAGAACTTTTCAGTATGCATCAAATGTAATCTGTTTTTGCGTAAGCTGATAACATAGTTCTAATACAATCTAAAATATAAATTTCTGTCCATTCATAAATATGAGTTTTATTTTTATAAATATCTAAACAATGTCATTGTTACTGCGTGTGTAATCTGTTTTTGCGTAAGCTGATAACATAATTCTAATACAATCTAAAATATAAATTTGTGTCCATTCATGAATGAGTTTTATTTTTTATAAATGTCTAATCAATGTCATTGTTACTGCGTGTGCGATCTGTTTCAACTATGAGTTTTGATAAATAAAAACAAGTATTGTTTCTGTATTTACATGAAAATTCCCCAACTAATATTAAAAACTGATGATGCATATTCATAAAAATAAACAACAAAAGAAATTCATTAATTCCAACCGTAAAAATGTAATAGAAAAATTAAAGTTGTATTGTTTAAAATCGCTTTCATAGTTTTTGCTACGTATTATATGGAAATTATTAGATTACTAAAATCGTATTTGTAATAAACTTTAGTTGTTAGATTAAGAATTAAATCTAATTAGTACTAAACACAGTATTCAATTATATAGGTAAAACTTTTAAAGTTTGTGGGAGAAATTATTAAGAAAGATAAAATAAATTTTACAGAAAAATTGATGTTTGTCCAGAGAATCAAAATCCTTCAGTCACTTCAGTTTTCTTTCAATTATATAAGGTTTAAGCTTCAATAATAAGTTGTAAATTAACAGCATATTGAAATTGTATTTTTATGGTATTTTTAGTCGCAATTTCATAAAGTTCACGCATACAATCCTGAACTCGTTGGAAAAGTATTCAGCTTTGAATTGAGGTGGATCATGTAATTATCTTAAAGGGTTGTAGAGAAATTCATGAAAAACGTGAAAACTCGTCGGATTTCAACGAAACAGCGATTTTACCGAAAATCCTATTCACTTTTTTTTTTCCATTTCAACAGCTCGTTGTAGCTCGACGATAGCACGATAGTTTCGTTGGAAAGGTGATATGTATTCAGCTTTAAATTGTGTGTTCGATGATATAATTATCTCGCCAAATTGGATTGAGAATAAAATTAATATACTTGATTTGTATAGAAAAATAGTTAAATAAATGGTTATATTCATATATATTTGAAGCGTTTAATTTTAAAAATAATTATTTCACTTTCGTTTGCTTTAAAATAAACTAGTTTTTGCAAATTAATAAGAAAGTTATTAAGCTTTAATGAGTTGGCGGTTATCGCGTATTAAAAACGTCTGTCGGAATATTCAATAAACAGTCTGCAACCACACGTACGTATGCCTGCTGCAGACTTTTCGACAAATTCTGGTAGATGTTGCCGCTTGTCTTAATTAAAATGCATATAACTCGAAATATAATTAGTATTTTAATTATTAGACTAAAGTAATAACATTTGTTTATTTAAATGAGAAAGGAAATTTATTTTGCGCCTAAAGCACAGGCAACCAAACATACATATACACTTAGATGAAGAAATTGGAAAACAACGTTTGTAATATGCCCAGTATTTCCGTAAAAATGAGCTCCCAGAAGAATGTTATACATGGACGTTGATCTTGGATATACACGGATTAAAATGAGTGCAAGTATTAATTTGTAGGTGCAATGGTGTCTTCATAATTGATTAACAAACTTTGGTATTTCACAAATGAGTTGAGAAAATAACGTCTTCGAAAATGACCTTTATTTTCGTATACACCAACTCTCAGAAGTGTTTTGGACATTAATGTTCGTAAGCTCTTGCTTCTAGAAGAATGTTAAACATGAATGTTCCTCGTAAAATATTTGGGTGGTATTTGACAGATCAATCTTGGGTGCTTTTCTACACATTCTTCGGGGTCGCAAAAACTTTTTATGTCCAAAAGGGGATCGTGGACCAAAAAGTTTGAGAATCACTGCGTTATACTATAAGAACTTTTGTATTTTTATAGGAAGGAGTTTATCATGTTGTACATTTATCTATTTATCAAATTTTTAGAGTAGAATAAAACATTTTTTTTTATATAATCATATGTTTTTATATTGTTTTGATACAATTACTTTAAATATATAAATTGTGTTCAATAAACTAAATCATTTTTTCTCAATTCTAAATTAAAACAATTCAAACTATACAGTGAACTTGCTCACATAATGATTTTTTTGTTGTAGTTGTTTTTAATAAACTCTATTTACAGAAAATGTATTGAATTAATTAATACTTTTAACCATTGGTAACATTGATGGGAATGTTGATTACATTATTGTTGGGGTGCAGATTTGCTGCTTTCCTCGTTACTTGTCTGCTGATTCTGCATTTGCTGTCTGATCTCTCTGTTATCTTGCAGCAGCTTCTGGAGCTGAGAGTAAATATTATCGTTCTTCTGCTCCATGCTGTCTAGGGCTGAATTGAGTGCATCTATTTGACTGTTCAGGGCCTCCAACTCTGTAAAGGGTTGTCAGTGCAATTAAATGTTAATATTGTTGATGGAATATAATGTACCTTCTTGGCTCATGTCCTCCACATCTGAATCGCAGACCTCCGAATCGGAATCCTGGCCCTCATCCATATTTTCCTGCGGTGCGACCTTACCCATAATTTTGTTTATTACAGTTTATTTAAGCGCGACTGATAATGAATGCGATAAGCAGTCGAAATCATATGACTCTGACAGCTTAAAGTGAAGTTGGCTGTAGTTTGAATGAGTCATAAAATGCACTTTTTTTTTAAATGATTGCACAGTAAATTGTTTATTGGATATTTTTTTCGATGGTATAAAATTGGATTTACGAGACGAATCTATTGAATCCGTTAGTAATTATTGTGGCTTTTGTGAAATTGTAATGATAAGATGTCGTTTTTTCGACACCATCAGATAAGATGTCTCAACATCCCATGAACAAATAGGAAAATAACGTCTTAGATGTTACAGAAGAATGTTATAAATGAATGTTGATCTTAAATATACACGGATTAAAATGAGCGCAAATATTAATTTGTAGCTGCAATGATTGCCTCATAATTGATTAACAAACTTTGGTATTTCACAAATGAACTGGGAAAATAACGTCTTCGAAAATGGCCTGTATTTTCGTAAATATGAGCTCCCAGAAGAAAGTTATAAATTCATGTTGATCTTGAATATATACGGATTAAAATGAGAGCAAATGTTAATTTGTAGCTGCAATGGTGTCCTCATAATTGATTAACAAACTTTGGTATTTCACAAATGAGTTGGGAAAATAACTTCTTCGAAAATGGCCTGTATTTTCGTAAACATAAGCTCCCAGAAGAAAGTTATAAATGCATGTTGATCTTGAATATACACGGATTAAAATGAGCCCAAATATTAATTTGTAGCTGCAATGATGTCCTCATAATTGATTAACAAACTTTGGTATTTCACAAATGAACTGGAAAAATAACGTCTTCGAAAATGGCCTGTATTTTCGTAAACATGAGCTCCCAGAAGAAAGTTATAAATGCATGTTGATCTTGAATATACACGGATTAAAATGATCTCAAATGTTCATTAAAATGAGTATAAATACAGGTTTGTAGCTACTATAGCTTCTTTACAATTAATTATTAAACTTTGGTATTAGATAGGATGGAAAACAACCTTTTCGAAAATGGCCTGTATTTTCGTAAGCACATTCTTCCAGACTGTTGATCTAAAATATGCAGAGATTAAAACGAGTGTATATATTGATTGATAGCTAAATAAAAAAGCTTTTAATATGTTTCTGGTGATTTGAAGAAAATTTACATTTTTTATTTTCCTATATTTTCAATACATCTGGCATTCAAAAATGTTATCCTGTCTTTAAAGATCATGTAGGAAGCAACAATAGAATCATGGGTGATGTAGGGTTCATAGTTGTTATCCATTTCCTTAATGAAGTAATATAGTAACAGTTAAGGTTTCCACTATTTGCAATTTAAAACTGCTAGTAAAGAATGCTTTCCACTTTCTGGAGAACTTAAGGTCATCAACTATATATTAGGGGCATGTTGCTATCAGATCCTAAATTAATAACAATTCTACCAATAATTGTTGACTACTTACCTTATGATTATTAACAATTAATGCACATTCTTATATGAAGACACTGATTTGGTATGTTTTATGTAAAAGATTTTATACAGTTTCTGTTGTATTTTTTCTGAAGACAAAAAACTTTAGTGATCAATGGTTATTGACACGTTCCATTAGTACTTGCCAGAAGTGAAATATGAAGTTCAGAAAAAGGTTTTCCATAAAAGTAAATAGAAGAAGGAAGCAATGGAGCATGTTGATCATTAAGTTTGTATTCAGAAGAATGTAGAATGGACAGGAAATCCAATAAAGACCTTTAAATTTAACTTGCGATAGTAGTTGTCACTTTGACAGTTCTTTCACTAACACTAATGCAAATTTCAAATTACAACCAATCTGGAACGACAAATGCTAGGAGCTCAGATACCTACTCGCTACTCATAGTCTCCTAGTGCAAATCGAAATTTTCTGGCATTTTCGAGAATCTATAGGGGGGGGGGGACTTACGTTTTGATGCGCAAAAACCGCCAACGCATTAAAGCCTAATAACTTTCTTATTAATTGACCAAAACTAATATATGTTATAGCAAACGAAAGCGAAAGAATTATTCTTTACAACAGTAAATTCAAATTTTCTAATATATATGAATATAACCATTTATTTAAATATTTTTTATACCCTCACGTTTTTTTTAAATTAATCGTTTACCACTCGTGTAATTAAACAATCAAATACGCAAATTAAAGAAAAAACTGCAACCATTCCAATGAGCTAACGGCCGGTGCATTGTGGTTTGGTCAATACATGTATTAAAAGTTATCAAAATAAAGCATTTTAATTAAATTCTTAATCTAAATAATTAACCTATGACCTAACCTAATGAAAAATATATTAGCACCTAAAATATATTATTTAGCACGAATCGATTTACTCAAATTTTGTATTTGATGCAATAGGAATGATGTTATGCAACATGAGGTTCAGAGATGAGCCTTGTGGAACACCCTGAAGCGGGAAGAAGGATCCAGAGAAGTAAAAGCGGATATACATATATACAAATAATAAATGAAACAATATTTAATGTGTGTTTGGATATAGTTTTTTTTATTAATCAATTTTTTTTATCACAAGCTTTCAACAATTTAAAACATCTATATGTATATGAAAATACTTCTAAAAACTAGGACTCTTTTTGTTTATATTCAAATAACATTTTGAGATTACTCTAGTTATGTAAAAATTACACAATATTTTAATTTAATAAACGTTTTTTTTTTCTTTCTTTTTGGTGTTACGCAGTGTTCATCATTATTGTTGTATTATTATTTTCAAGTTAATTCCTCCTCACATTTCAAATACGGAATACGAAATTTCGACATATCCGCATGTCGCACAAAAGAACAAACGTAAAAACATGTTTGACGCAATCAAACAGGAAATTAAAAGAAGAACTAAACTACTCAACTCAACGTGCACACGAACGGTCGTAAATATGTTTATACAACAACGATTTATTCAAAGTAAATTAAAATAAATAACAACAAGTCTCGCCAGTTGCGAGCGTAAAACATAATTAATTAATTAATATATATATATAAATTGTTGATTATTTGTGAACCCCCGAGAAAAGAACGACTACAAACTAATAATACAATAGTTGGTTTCATAATTATATATATTTTTTTATATATTTAAATTATATTAAAAAAAAAAGAACAGGAAAAAATCTATTTGCTCTTGTGTTGTGTTTTTATTGTTGTTGTTGCTTCGTAAACCTATTAAAAGTATTTTCTTACAGGAATAGCCTGACTTGGTTTATGATACTTATTTTTTTCAGTTAGTCCACAGCCTAAGATTTTTTTCTCCTTCGTCTCCAGCTCCGCCATCAAAATTTCCTTTTTTTTTTTAAACTTCTCTCTCGAAATTGAAGAAAATAAATTAACACAAATAGAAAAAAAAACAAACATAGAAGAGAAAATAAACTAGACAAATAATACTATCCTTGAATTGGAGTCAATGGAGGACACTCTCGAAACCTGTGACTAGCAGTACACAGAATCCTAGTTTAAAAGTCTAAAAGTTACATAGATTACAAATCCTTGCGTTAGTGTAGTGTACAAAATAAATAAATATACAGTTACATTTTTTGCTTTCATAATTAATGCGAACGAATATAAAATTGTTATTATTACGTTATTTACTTGGTTTTGGTTTGATTTTATTTATTATTTTGACATCATTGTAGAAAATAGAAATAAATAAAGTAGTAAAAAAATGTTATGGTGGCGTTTTCTTTTCAGGATTATAACTAAGTATCCTTCATTTGAAAATAATTTTTGTAAAAAGTCTATGAATATAATATACATATACGTTTGTTTGTTTTTGTTTTTTTTTTCTTCCTTTTTTTTTTTTAGTTTATAGGTATTATAATTATATATTGGACTACCTAAAGGGAAAGTTGTCTTGTAGTTTTCATTTATCGTCCTCGTCACTATAGTCATCGTAATGATTATTGTGGGATGACTCCGGGGGACTCGGCGAGTCGTAACGTGGTGCTTTGCGCGGCGGCGATGACATCGCATCATCGTAGTCGTCGCCGTTCAAGGAGTTACTCGAGGATGAGGGACTGCCGTCGCGAGTCGGCGAACTTGGCGGGCTGAGGGCGTTCAGGATCTTCCCCTTGGACTCGTTCCACATGTGCGAGAGACGTTCACGGCCGAAGAGCAGCAGGAAGTTCTCGATGAACTCGCGCGATTTGTCCTCCCACTTGGTGATCAGATCGACGCGCCTCTCACCGATCGTGCCGAACACCTTTTTGCTCTTGTCCTTCAGCTCGTGCATCTTGTTCTGAAGACGGATCTTCTTTTCGCTGAGATATGAGATGTTCAGGTCTTTGGCGGAGTATCCTCTCGCGAGATTCCTTCTCACGTAGATGTCGTAATCGCGGACGATTCGCGCGACGATATCTGACGTGGAAACGCCGTCCGTCCTTTCGGTGGGCACGAACATGCCCTTCGCCTTCCACTTGGCGTAGATGTCATTGCAGTCGGCCGTTCCGTACGGCAGGTCATCGTGCGCTATGAAGTCGATCTTGTGCTTCTCAATGTACGTCTCATCCACCTCCCACGGAGCGTCTCTGATGATCTCGTCCACGTACCGGCAATGCCTCAGGGCTTCGTACCGTTCGGTCTCCGTCATCACGGTGCGACCCTTTTTACTATGTGTCAAAGAATCATTACACACTGTAATAAAAAAAAAAACGTTTATTAATTATCAATTCATCATCTACATCAGCGCTTTCCAAACTGTGAGGCGCGCCTCTATGGGGAGGGGTGGACTAGTCTAAGGTGAGGCGCGAATATTAGTAGCAGTGAGAAATTTTCCAAATATCTGCTAAATTATAGATACATTCCTGTGCTCTTATCCATATTGCTGTAATACGCGTTCAAAGTTGAAAAATTGAAATTAGAACGTTCGAAAAAGCAGTGTTTTCACATTTCATTGATTTACTCGATAACTATAATAGATAAAATTAATCCAATATATGCATATGAAAGCTGAATGTTTGGGGGAATCCAACAAGTATAGATACATTCCTGTGCTCTTATCTATATTGCTGTAATACGCTATAGAGGGGGGTGGGGAGGCGCCATGGTTACATACTTTTGAGGGAGCCGTAGTAACATCAAGTTTGGAAACCACTGATCTACATCATCTATTCAACATCTACAAATAAACAATCTCAACCAAATACTTATGATTTCAATTAAACTTCATATATGATATTTGCAAAATAAACAATAACAACATTCATTTCATGCTCACTCATCACTGTGCTATATTTTGCAGTCTTTATTTTTCCTTTCATAATAAATCGTATATAAATTGGTGCTTTTCCAGGTTTAGAACATTCTTTTCAAACTTGTTAAATTAATTTTCTTCCGTATTTTTGCTTAAAACTCGAACAATTTTTATTTTTAAGTTATTAAATTATGTATCCATTTATAAAGAAAAATAACGAATCAAAATGTTGACTCGTCGACTTTGAAAGGTTAAATAAACAAAGAGAAACAACTTGAAATTTATTGAGTAAATTCGGAAGTTTCAAAAGAAAACAAAACTTTTCATCTACTTGATTAATTTGACTATATAAATTTGTGTTTCACTTTATTATTCAAGACTTCTAAGATCATATCAAAAACAGTCTAAGTGAAAAAATAAAAGATAAACAACCAATCTACAAAATATATAAAATCAAATAATCTATTTCCAAGATTGTATTAATAATTGATGAAAAAGAATGTTATACTTTAATTTTAAAAAAACAAGTTAAAATGTTTGTATAATGTATATGATTTTATGCTTGTTATTGTGGTCTTGTTTCTGAAATAAATTGTATTTTGCATAACATATATAAATATGACATAACATCAACCAATTTCTATTCTAAGTCATATACTAAATAATATGATATTAACTGATTCTAATAGGAAATATATTAAAATAAAATCCTTTGAAACTTACCACCAACGATGAGATAGACATTGGGGAACACGTTCTTGGCCTGCATCAGCTGCCTCGCATGTCCCTGATGGAAAAGATCGTAGATGCCATCAGCGTAAACCCTCACCGGTCTATGAGTGTTCCCTGACCTCGCCATCTCGTACGTGATCTTCGAGTAGTCGCATTGCTCCCGAGTCTTCACAGCCTCAGCTTCCGTATCGAAAGGAGCCTCCCTGCAAACGGACTAAACAGAAAAAAACAAACAAACAATTAGAAACCAATAATTACATAAACTTCTGTCATCGACTCATGTTTCAATGTGCATCTTTCTACTGTTACATCAACGTCTTAATTACATTATCCGTCAAAGACGTCCTGTACCACGAACCCATGTTTTGATTTTTTTTTCTTCTTGTGATTGGCGTGCTTTGTATATATTTTTGTATGTATTTGTTTTTTGGATTTGCAACTTCTTTCCCGACGCGCGCTCAGTCTGATCGAACGTCTACGAACGTTCCTTTGTTGATGGCAGCCAACTTATTGAATAATTGAAGCATCAGGCCACTCTCCGTCGTTAAATATCGCCGCAACTGATCATTTAGAATTGAATTGGGACAGATTTAACTTGAAACAATCCACCACTTCTGTTCTCGCATCGATCTAAACGAATCGCAATTAAATAATAAATGGGACATAATCAATGAAACGTCAATTGATATACAATTCGAAAATTAACCAACTGTAATACGTTGCAAAGCATACACGAATCAGTATTAATTGGGAATTAAACAGTATAAATATTGATACTTTAAAATGTCTTTTAAAGTTTGTAGAATATTTAAAAAATAATAATTATTCATTTTAATTGATTATATAAACAATAGATGGATTATAATCAAGATAATTTACATAATCAATATTCACGGATCAGAAAGAGTATAACATTTTCATTATTATATAATATTATTATATTATAATATCTATGAGTAATTATTTCGGTATCAAAATACAAAATTAATTATTCAGTTAAGAGAAAATTATAAGAACATTCGTTAATCAAAGTTCAAAGTTGTGACGGTTGTATAAAGACTATCAGCAATTTCAGCAACATCTATCGCTGATTTTCTGTTTCACACAACTTGTTACACATTATCTGCAGTGACGGTTGTAGCTGATCCTATTATTCCGACTTAAACAAACTAAAGTTAAAACAAACATACTTCATACTAAAATCCAAATGATTCGCTAATTAGAACATATCCTCCGAAATGTAATTTAATTTTAAGGTCACAGTTGACTCATAAATTGAAAATTACAAATAATAACACGATTATTGTTTATATGCAATCAAAGTTTAACATATTTAACAAGAAGTTAAACAGTCGTTAAATATACATAAATAGGTCAATGCAGGTTTTAAAAATAAAACTTCAAAATGGTTATAAATAGTTATAATTTCCTTAAGTAACAAACGAATAAAACGATAAAATATTAAAAATCAAAACAATCAAGTATATAAAAAACAACAAATCTAAAAAAAAGCATAGAATATGTGTAAAATAGATAAAATGCAACAATTAATATTCATCCCTTGCTTACATACAAATCGCTTGTTATGGCTGTGTGTAACATTCATACATGAGAGAAAAAAACATGTGAAGAATGCGTAAAGAAGAGAAGATATGTTACGCAAGATTTGTATATGCATCCAAATAAACGCTTGATAAGCTTCAGTCTTCGATTGTGAAATCAGCGTTATGTACAACATAACGTTATAAGATTGAGTATGAGGCTAAAGAGTCAGTCTCGATGATTTAAAAAAATGCACTCGGTAAGTAACGCAATTATGTCAAAATAGGTAAAAAAATGAATTCAAAAGATTTCTTGAAAGTTTTTTTTCGTTGAATTTTAAAATTAAAAAATAAGTACCTTAATCAATAAGTACCGGCGACCAAAAATAAAATTAGAGAGGAAGTATATGATATATAGTAAAAACTGTACTTGTAAGAGAGAAAACTAAAGAAAACCTATGAAACTTATTGAAAACAAATGATCATCTAAAAATATGAATATGTTTTCCCTCTTATTGTTGTGATTGTTTTCGTTTATTTATGTGAGTCTAATTTTACTTGGAGGCTCTATGATGATTTCGTTATCGCTATCATCATCCTCATCATCGTAGGAGCGGCTCGGCGATCCGGGCGGTGTTATAGCATTCATGATCCGGGAACGCGATCCGGTCAGAATGCTCTTCAATTTATTCCTGTTCCTTCCGAAGAGCATCAGGAAATTGTCGATGAACTCTTTGCTCTTCTCCTCCCACTTGTTGATGATATCGTCCTTCCTCTCACCGATGCTCCCCAGCAATTCCTTGCTCTTATCTTTGAGCGACTCCATTTTATTCTGAAATTTGAACTTCTTCTCCCTCAGATAGGAGATGTTCAGTTCCTTTGCGGAGTAACCCCTGGCTAAATTCCTGCGGGCGTAGACGTCGTAGTGACGGACAATACGCGCTACGATGTCGGAGGTGGAGACACCCTCCGTTCTTTGAGTGGCTATGAACATGCCCTTCTTCTTCAGCGGCGCATAAATGTCTTCAGTGTCTTCACTGGGATAAGGGATGTCGTCGTGGGCGACGAAATCGATTTTGTGGGCAGCGATGAACGCCTCGCTGTGTTCCCAGGGCGCGTCCCTTAACACCTCATCAACGTATCTGCAGTGTCTGACCGCATTGTAACGTTCCTCCTCGTCCATGACGGTACGTCCCTTCAGTCTATGCAACGTCTTGTCACTGCACACTACAAATAAAGTACGTTTAAACTCATTCCTCATTAGTTTCTATTTGTTCTGTATTTTATTTAATTATTTTGTGCTGAAAGGAACTGGGGAAATCTTGGATTTACCTCCGACGATGAGATAGACGTTGGGAAAGCAGTTTTTGGCTTGCAAGAGGATTCTTGCATGGCCCTGATGGAACAGGTCAAAAGCCCCGTCCGCATAGACTCTGATCGGGCGCGGGGATTCCCCGCGCTCCGCCATCTCTTTCGTTATTTTAATGCTGTAATCGCATTGCTCCAAATTCTTTCTCGCCCCTTCGTCCTCACTAAACAGCGCTGCATCGCAGAAAGACTAGAATAAAATCTACATTAGACATACTCTACCACTAGTGCAAGATACAAACATATTAAAAACACAATAGAAAGATACAAGCGAAAATAATACACAACAAGCAGCACATACCAAAACAAAACAAAAATCGCATACATTCTTCATTTCTAATGACTTTTGTATGGTTTTCGCCATAAACAAAATATACAAGAAATAACGCAAGAAGCAATAAAAGAAGAAGCAAATAAGAAAACTACAATAGTGTGCTAATAAATAAATAAAAATATACATCTGTACGGTATACCCATACTTTACCTTCGCTTTAAATGCATTTCCCTTCGTCGCACGTCCTCAAAATAAAAGAGGATTTACAAAATAATGCACTTTTTTCACACCTTTAATTAATTTATTAAATTAATCATCAAGACGCAATTAGTAATTCATTGGTGTTTGTTGTTTACTGCACGTTCTTTCTTTCGATTTCAAAACGTTCCGATAAAACAACCAAATAACTAACTATAACAATGAAACACTAATGATGTCGTTGCGTTTTAATTGGATTCTATAATAGCATGCAGAATGCTTAACCCATTAACGCCCACTGTACTTTAACTAGTACAGTCCTCGCTAATTGTTTATCAACTATACGACTCGGCAGGCACTCCATTCCGAATGCATCCAATTTGTGCTCAAGTAACATAACACATTTTATTCTCATTACAAGAACAATTCTGTTTTTTGTTATAACAATAGTTAAATCAACAATCTATTGTAAATTTAGTTTATACATTTGTTTTTAACAAGTGTACCAACTTCAAATAATAGTTTGGTTCTGTTGCTAATAGTAACAAAAATACGTTAATATTATTTGTTTAAAATTCTACCAACTTGAAAATAATGTCACAAAAATTTAATAAATTGACGTTGAAATTTCCCATAACAATCAAATTAAATAATCTGTCACATACCAAACCACAAATCGCATAGTGTGTACACAACTTTAAAAAAAATATTTATTTATTAATTACAAACGAGATTTGTCGATTTGTTATTTGTATTCAAAAATGACAAAATTATTAGTTTACATATTGAATAATTTGATGATTATTCCAAATGCAAACAATTATTTATAAATGATTTTATTTTAATTTACTAATGTTTTCATTAAACGAATTTTCCATTAGCAGCAATCTATTTAAAACGCCGGAAATTATTCATGCCACGGAAAATCGATGAACTAATTTCATGGCCATGGTGTTGTTTCCACTGCGATTTCTTTGCATTCGTCGACAGAAGTATCGATTCGTTGGACGAAAATCCAAACCGAACGTTCGTACCTTTTATTTATTTAAAAACGAAAAAGAACGAATTTCAGAGTCATGTGAAATGAATGAAACTAGTACACAGCACGTTACCTCCTTGATAATCATGTTGCATAACAAACATAAAAAAACGTTCTAATAAACTTCTTTTATGTTCTGCTCTACCTCAATGCGTTGCCATCACAAGGAAACTTATGTAACGCACACTTTTTAACACAGCAGCTCGGTCCACACTATCAGGCTGTTAAGAATGAATGAATCGTGAGTCATCCGTCAGTCCGCATACACATTTTAATAAGTTATCTAAATAATTTATGGTCAAACATGAGATGAGGTCAGTCTGCTTCGGAACAGGACGTAATCGAAGAACTAAGGTTCAACGTGTTACAATTGCGCAATCGAATTTGAAGACCGAAGGTGTAGAGGTTTTTCATGATAGCGACGTGACCTTGACTTTGGTTCGCGTTTCGCAACTGCATTTGACCCAATTGCACTTGATAAAATCGCGAAAACAATTTTGCGCGAAACGATGCGCAAAGTGAATTTCTAGCCGAAAACAAAAATGTATGTTGGACGTTTATCAAGGCAAGATAACGACCGGATTCAGGATCGGATGAAACAGAATTTGCACGAAAATGTAATTAGTAATCACAAAAACTAATTAAAACATGTTATATAAACTATAGCAGATACATAAATGTAAAGATAAAAAAATAACAAATTTGTTAGGTTTAATCAGAAGCACGGCATTAATAAATTTGAATATTGAATTATTAATGATAGAGGATTAAAATAATTTAAAGATGTATGATAAAATATGTTGAAAGATACGTTTTGTAATACCAAACATTATTCAATATCTAAGTTAACTCATTAAATCACTTCTATCAAGAACAGGTCAGTATCCCAACAAATTGTATTCAACGTTTTGCTTCAAATTTAAGAAATATATCTTTTTTTCTCTTATTCAGTTTACAATCATATTGTAGTTTAATGTGGATAGGTCAGAGATCGTTATGTTGACATTAAATTTATAATTGTCAAATAATTTCTTTTGCTTTGGGAGAAAAGCATTGATAAAATGTTGTTATTGACAAAAATTTAGAAAACTTGCATTCTTATTTTTTTTCATAAAAATATTCTTTTAAAAGCGTATTTTTAAGGAAAAAAAAGCCTTGAGATTTTATTTGAACAAGATTGTATCTTGCCAGAGATTGAACGTAACCATCTTATAATAATAAAAAAAATAACGTAATTGCTGTGATGCAATATTGATAAGAGACGAGACGTGAGTGAGAGCTCGTGGAGATAATTAGTGAATAATACTGCATTCGCAAAGAAACTTAACGTATTTCGAACAATCGATGTCAAAAATATATCGCATTTCTCCGCAATGAAAAGCATAATTATTTGTTAATAGGTTTTCTTTTGTTTCAAAACATTTATTGTTTACTATTAAAGTTTTATTTCTAAAAACTTATTTCGCCGATAAGAATGAAACAATGTAGTTTCCGTTTTGAATAGAAAAAATTGCAATAACAAACAAAAAAAAACGCAAATAAATTAATTCATCTCGTTCAAAAATTTTAAAATAAAAATAATTATTATATTATTTTACACGTAAATCTACGAAATTTTTGTTTTAGAAACAGTTGAAAATCATTATAGAAAAATAAAATTATATCGATAATACTTTGAACAAATCAGGCGATTTTTTTTACTGAGTAATACTGAAATGATTTTATGTAATGTGTAGAGATAGAGGACGCAGATAACGGGAAAAAATAAACTTTGCGATATTCGCGGATTTCATTCAAACAACGTTATCGGAGATTTGCCACTAAACTAAACAGTAATGTGTGGATTTAGATGAAATCGCACCGTTGTGGTATGAAAATCTTTTCGGATTCACTAGAATTTAGAAATCTACACTAAATCGATACTAATTAAAGAAGAAAAAAAAACTTGGCCATGGATTGCGTGATTTCAATATTCTTGTATTGTGAATGAATTAGGTCAGGTCATGAATAGCTTAATCGAACTTCCGGTTTCTATACGTTTACAATCATATTGTAGTTTAATGTGGATAGGTCAAAGTTCGTTATGTTGACATTAAATTTATAGTGAATATAAATTTAAAAATAAACTAATTGTTAAATAATTTATTTTGCTTTGGGAGAAAAGCAATGATAAAATGTTGTTATTAACAAAAATTTAGAAAACTTGCATTCGCATATAAAATAAAAGCGGAAATAGATAATGAAAAATACTGAATCATAATGAACAATTATTTCATTTCTCATAATAATTTGCATTTCCGAAGCACATTATGTTTTTATTGCATAATACTGCAGTATTTCTAAAACTAATTAAATTGAAAAGTATAAAAGATTACATTTTCTAACTAATACAAAATATAATTATTTATAATTAAGAGCCAAAGCGACAAAAAATGTCAATGAATAATTTTTTTTTGAAATGAAATCTGAAATCAAATTTTAGATTAAATACACAGAAAACATGTATTTTTTTATTCACAAAAGGTTTTAATAAACTTTTCTGTCTATTTGTCTCTATAAACTACTTAAAATAATGAAATCAAGTAGCATGAAAGAAAAGTTTAAACGATTTCTTATTAATCTCTCGCATGTGATAACGAAACCACAAATTAGCATTTGTTTTGTGTTAATCAAAACAAAAATTGCTGTTTTGACGTTTAACATAGGTTATTGTAAAATTGTATTATTAACGAAGATAAAAACATTAATTCTATTGTTATGTCATTAAATAAACATTGATTTCAATTTTCCAAATTTGATGTTGAATTATGTCAACTTCAATGCTGAAATATATAAAATCATTAATCGTTAGATTACGCAACATGGGTCATGTGGTGCAAAATAAGCAAACTGATACTTGCGGATTGTAGTTATTAAAACATCTTTCGAAATAATGACAATGAACGATCACTTCGAACACCGTACTTACTTCCAGCTGGTAAAATATTGCTTTCATTATTTCTACTCTCACAACGAACGTTGATTAAACTTAAACTTTATAAATTTAAAAATAGATTTAAAACAAAACTGAAATAAATAAACAATTTCACAACGGAGGATTGTTGGTTTTGAAGTTGCGGAACGCGAACGTCATTAGGTTGTCACGATCGTTGTCAGACTGCCGGCGCTGCCGTCCTGCGTTATATACTCGAACATACAGGACTGTATATACGTGAAATACAAACGTGTAAGTTGTTATCAAACGTATTATCACTTCAGTTTCATGCATAAAACATAATGCGTTATTAATATTTATTTTTTGGTTTGTTAGCTTAGTAGTTGTGTTGTGAAATTAATTTCGAATAGTTTGTGTTTCCCGCTCGAATTGAAAAAGCTCATTGATTGATCAAAACATCGCTGAATTATTCAAAGGGGGAAAAGATGGTGAGATGGACGAGACACGCGATGGAATATTTCATCCATCGATATTAACCGGTACGTATCAACAGTAAGAGTCTAATTGCTTCTACAAATATTTAACAATAATCCAGTTTCGAAATGGTTAAAAAAAATATGTAGTTATACAGAGTGTTTTAGTTTGAATTTACCCATGGCGACCAACGTGTGTCTTCAATTTTTATTTAATTGTCAAATTCATTGTTTTATTACATAAACATTAGTTTAATTTTTTAATTTAATC